GCATTGCCCTAAAGGCCAGACTGCACGTGGATGGCCCAAATGCTTGACTTTGTAATGTCCCATATAACTTCTCATTGATGTGTACACCTTATCACACCCCAGGAACTGGCATTGCACTTGGGATTCTTTTGTAACATCCTTTGGTTGACCTAGATGCGTGGTTCGGTAATGCCTCGTGAATTCCTCTCTTGACGGTAGTACCTTGTCGCATCCTCAAACGCCGCACTGTATCGGAGGTTGACTTGGAATTCTCGTTGATTGATCTAAGTGCTCGGCTATATAATGCCTTTGTGTAGTTCCAACTGGTTTTATGCTCTTTCTCACATCCTCGAAAATCGCACACAAAACTTCGATCTCCATGCACGTTTCTGTAGCGCCTTGTAAACGTCTTCTTAGATGAGAGTACTTGGTCACACCCTGGCGAGTCGCACTGGATTCGCGTTGAATGCTTGTTCCGATAAAGGGCCATATAGCCTGCGATCGCATCCTAGAAAGTCGCATTTCCTTGGTCGTAGACGCGTAGTCTTTTGACCTAAATGCGTCTGTCTATAATATCTTGTCGCCTGACTCTTGTATTGGAAGCGCTTATCACATTCCTGTTCCTTGCACTGGAAAGGGGGCAGCTGAACAGGATGTTTCCGCTGGTAGTGTCCCTTCAAGGTTGCAGGCATCAGTTTCGCGCCGCAATTGGGACATGCGCACACGATCCGAATATCTTGACCTGCGCGTTCGATCTGATAGTGGTTTTGCAAGTCATGTGGTAGAAGTCTCTTATTACACCCTGGATAGTCGCATTGCTGTCGCTGTTTGCTTGGAGGCAATCGACCCAAATGTTTCCCCTATAATGGGCCGCCGCTATCTTCTTCGTGGAGAAGCTCTGGCCACAGTTTGGATCCTGGCATGGCGTTCGACGGCAGCAGTCCCGTTGATCTTGGCCTGTCCGTTCCCCTCGACTAATCGGTGCTCGAGGCCTCAGGAAGGCCCTGCCTAGTGTGACAGCTCCTTGGCCTACGAAACGAGTTCGATTGGAGTATATTGTCAATACTGCAGCAGGACAATCATCGTTCTTTGACACTGTGCGTTGTCCGCAATGGAAGAGGTTGAGCTCGCGGGAGAACGTGGATGAGGAAACTGATTTGTGTTGAAGAAAACCATTTGTAGGACCTTTGTGTAACCCGCTAAATGGCTTCGTGATCTAGCAAGCGTGTCATGAGATGCTAGATTATCTGCTATTAGAGTCTTTAGGGAACTACGTATGACATAGAGTGAAGGACGTGTAAGTAATGATGAGACCTATTAATTACTACAGAGCGATCTTCATTGTAAGGGACGTGTTAACATAATAGAAGAGAAATGAAGCGTTAGTTGGTGTTCCCGTCGGAAGCTAGACACAACAGGTAGGTTTAAGTAGCGTTTTATACAAGAATTTCACACAACACTACTAGCCCTATAGATCGACATCAAAACAAGCAGTCTATGTACCTTGAGTTGATGGGAAAGGCTACGCTTGGGCAGTTTTCTGGAACCAGATCAGACTCCTCTCAGCGTACGCAACATCCCCACTTGAACAAGCATCGCTCGTTACCTCAAAATCCTCCCTCCCGAAAACTTCAGGTGCTCGTTCATGTCGTCAAGCCGCCCACAATTCTTTTCTATGCCGTTCTCCGATGACCAGTATGAAGCCGGAAAATCGAGGAGCTTCTTGAGAAAGCCAGATCTGGCGCCGCATCGCCTGCGTTCATGGTCATCAGGATCTCATACATGATCAACGGTAGCCCCGTCCGGAGCCAGCTCAAGAATTTGCCAGTCGTAATGCACTTTTCGAGCTTCTGATAATATTGCAATAATTGCTGTAGCTATCGTCTGGAAATCCGATGTTGCAAGGGCAAGAATGCTTGGGCCTGCACCGCTTAAGCAAACTCAATTCGAGTAGTATAGAGTCTTAATACAATCTCATAATCAAACAATTCGCAAAGTAGAGAAAAATTGAAGATTGATAAATAGGGGCTATCAAAGTTACTTCTACTTATGATAAGTAGAAATGCAATAAGCTACTAGTTCTTTGACAGCACCTCATCTATTTCGACTTATGAATAATAACTATTTCTTCTTCTTCTTAAATAGTCTCGTAGTAATGATACCGTGTTAACTACATTCGATATAGGGCCTTGGCGGATAGAAACGGCCGGAGAACGCCTTCCAACAGTGGCCTATGGCCACATAAAACACCCCCCAAAGCCATTGCAACGACAATAATACCTCAGCGCAGTCATCATGACTTCTGTCTGCATCACGGGATCCGTCTCTAAGTCAGACGGGCTGGAATCGCTGCTATTTAAAGCCTTGGTTATCTCCTTGGTAAGTAGATAGCTGATATAGGCGTCTGTCAGGGCGCGTTTAGGCTTCTTTCTGGCTATGACGCCTGTAGGATTAGGCTAACCATGATAGCGTGATATGTGTAGAAGGCTACTCTAGAGCGTGTAATAGAATACGAAATAAGTAGCTTATGAAGTGTTGTTGCTCCTCCAGAGGAGCAACTCAGAAGTCGTTTTTTTTCTACTTATCATAGGGCTGATATAGGGCTGAAGGGGTAAATAAGTGACTTATTTCATAAGTAGAAGTAACTTTGATAGCCTCTAATGTGAAAACGGGGAAAATTAGTATATATAAAAGAATAAGGTAGGGCTGAGCTAAAAAACCTTGAATTTGTATGTGCAGCCAATCATAAATTCGGGTCCGCTACGCTCTTTGGTTAGACCAGCTGAGTCAGCCCGATAGCCCTCCCGCGTCTCCTCATCAAGAATTAGATATACGTTATTCACAAATGAAATAACTTTTTTATTTTCTATTGAAATTTCTTTTTTCTTTTTTAAATTATGAAGTGTAGTTTGCGCTATTCAATGCTGAAAGAATTGTAAAATTCGATCTTATAATCATTAAAAAGTAAGGAGCTTAAATATCGTTTACCAAAGTTCGCTTACCAAAGTTCGCTCGACAGCCCTGATCAAAAAATAGGTGTACATTATTTAATTTTAGAATAACTTTTTTGTTTTCTATTAAATTTTTGAGATTTTCTATTTAAATTATAGAACGTAATGTAGGCTTTTAGATAAAAAAAGAGTTACTAAATTTAGTCTTATAGATACTTAAAGGTAAGGAATTCAGATATCGCTTATCAAAGATCGCTTATCAAAATTTACTCGACAGCCCTGATCAAAAAAAATGGTTATGAATTTAATTCATAGGCCTTTACGGAGGTCGGCACCAAAAGTTCTAGACAGCGCTAAAATACTTGGCACTCTTGGCATTCTTAGTACTTTCTATATAGTTATATTTATTTAACGATAATACTTTATATAATTGCGTATATACTCATTAGCTCGCTTAGCGAAGTTATATTATTATCGTATAATTATATATTACTCCCCTCTACGATCTTTTCTATACTTATTATTATCTTTAAGACGTATTATCTCCGTAATATATCTCGATATTTACTCTATTTACTTCTAAATTCTCTTTTAAATAAGCTCGTAATTTTAATAATATAGCTATTATCTTTCGACTTTCTTATAAATTCTTAATATATCTTTTCGAATAGTATAACGTTTTATTTATAGTTAATAAGACTTACTCGTATTTACTAGAATTTGTAATCTATTAGAATTTATAATCTCTAAAACTTAATCTTTATAGTTTATCATTCCATAACATTATAATAAAAAATTCGAAAAAAAAATCTAAAAGAATATAAAATGGGATTTTAATATTTTTAAGAAAATTTAAAATCGAGGTAATAATAATTGATTTATATAATAGCGTAATAACCTTCGATAATTATATCTTAATATATTACTATATAACTTTAATAATTTAAGCTTAATTATAAAAAGAATTAAATATTATAAAAATTATACTCTATATCTTTTAACTTTTTTTTCTAGTTTTAAATTATATTGTTATAAAATAATAATTAATAAGAATTAGATTTTAAAGATTATAAATTCTAATAGATTGTAAATTCTAGTAGATTATAAATTCTAGTAAATACGAGTAGTAAGTACTTAAATTCGAGTCTTATTATTATAATTAATACTTTAAATATTAGATATTAAATATATTAATAAAAGATAATTAAGATAGAGAATAATAAGAAGATTTCTATTTATTATACTATATAAATAAGACTTATATATTAAAAGTCTTTATACTCTTTCTCTATTTCTTTACGCTATAATTAGTACTTTAATATTATCGCTATTATATATTCTATTAATATCGCTATTATATATATACTTCGCATATTTATACTTCATATATATACACTTCGTATATATATACTACGTCGCTATTATATAGAGCATTGATACTTATTAAAATAAAGAATAATGATACTATCTATGAAATTTGGAAGTATGCTAAGCACTCAGCCCTACCTGGACCCTTGTCTTGGCATGTCTAGGACTTTTGATGTCGACCTCCGTACTCGTTTCTAACTACTAAAGTATGATATTCACCTAACATGTGCTAATGGCGCGGGCTAGCCAGTAATTAGTGATCGAGGGTCGGGGACAAAAGTCGTTGGACACTTTGGTAGGGCTTAGCGGGGATCGGTGTCCAACGACTTTTGTCCCCGACCCTCGGATCACAATTATTCATATAAAATTCTTTACATTGATACATTGTTTTATTGCTTACTGAATCTGCTAGAATGATACTTGATTGATTCTTAGGGGAGACCCTCTGAAACCGCCCTAACCCCCCGGGGATCCTTCGGGGGCTCTCCGAGGGCTCCTGCCGGAGGGGCTGTCCTCGCAGGCTCGAAGCGCACTACATCGGCAAATCAGAAAGGTTCCTGCTGGAGGTGAATTTGCTGAGTTGACGGATAGGGCTGACGTTAGCACGTTATATGTACCTTATAGTAACCATGTCAGCAAATTGAAGGAAGACACTAAAACATTGCTGACATTTCCCCCCCCCACCCTCTTTCGACACACAGCATGGCCTCCACCCCACCAATCATCGCCCGTAGCGACAACGCCCGCCCAAACCCCCCATCTCCGCTGACAATCGACCTCCTCACCCACGTCCTCTCCCGCACCCTCTTCCACCCCTTCCTCGCCGCCCTCCTACCGCTCTGTCTCCGCGCTCTGGCCGCACCCTACACTTCCACCTCTTTCATCCTCACCTCTGCATTCGCAATAGGCGTCTGCCTGTACAGGGTCTTACAAGGTGTGAACACCCGGCTTGCGTATGGCCCGCCGAGAAAGATCAGGTGGGCAGACGAAGTCGTCGTAATCACCGGCGGCGTTGGCGGTCTGGGAGGGTGTTTGGCTGAGATCTTCGCGTTGCGAGGCGTCGGGGTCGCGGTGTTGGACGTTGAGGTCGCGCCACGGTGGGCTCAGGCTGAAGGTCTGGCGAAAGGGCCGGCAGATGGGGAGGAGAAGGAAGGGGTGCGGTATTATTACTGTGACGTGGGGGACTATGAGCAAGTGGAGAGGATGTGGGCGAGGGTTATGAAGGATGTGGGTACGCCGACGGTGCTGATTAACAACGCGGCTGTGGTCAATGCGAAAGGTTTGATGGAGCAGAGTGGGGAAGAGGTGGAGAGGACGTTTCGGATCAATACGCTGAGTCATTATCATTTGAATAAGCTCTTTCTACGGCCAGTGTTGGAGAAACTATCACACGGAGGGACGATTGTGACGGTTTCCTCTGTGCTGGGCCACCTAGGTGCTGCACATCTCTCGGCGTATACCGCCTCCAAAGCCGCTCTGCTTGCCTACCACGCTTCTCTGACCTCCGAACTGGCGTCAGAAGCGCCACAGGTGAAGACGATATTGGTAGCACCTGGACAGCTGGACACCCAAATGTTCGGCAATGTTAAGCTTCGAGGCTGGTCAAGAAATTTCTTTGGCCCCGTTGCTGGGGCTGGAGAGGTTGCGATCAAGATCGTGGAAATGATTGACCGAGGTGAAGGGGGCGTGGTGAGTGAGCCAGCGTATGCGAGGTGGATCGCCTGGCTGGGTGTGTTGCCCGTGGGGTTGCAGAGGATGGCAAAGAGCTGGGCAGGGACTGATGATGCGTTTGCTGGGGATGTTCGGAAAAGCTCGAAGGATGCTGGATAGTAACAATTCCTGTCGTGCTGTCTGCCTTCCAGAAATCCACCGGATAGTAAATACAAGAAGCAATGTTTTCAGCCATCATGATCTCTCTTTCCATTCAGACCTTTTGCTTCGCCATCCACTCCTCTGCGTCATCCTTGTATCCCTCTCGCCACCGACTCAGTGGCGGCCGCTCATTAATAATATCTCCAACACTCCACAGCATTCTCTTCCTATCCTTCTCAACCGTTACATCATTGTCCGGACAAATCACATAGAATACCTCCTCCGCCATTTTCTGCTGCAAGTAATCTGCAACTTGCTCGGGAGCCCATGCTCCCTCCGGCTTCTCCTTCGTCTTACCCCCTCCAGTCAGTCCTGTAAATGTCCACCCTGGAACGAGCAAGTGCACGGAAGTGGGCGTAGCGCGCAAGTCGTATGAAAGATGTTCGGCAAGGCTTTTGATAGCAGCTTTGGAAGCGTTGTAAGCGGGATTGCCAGGCGGATTCGTGATGCCTTGTTTCGAGCCGGTGATGACGATAGAGCTGGGCTGGCTTTGTGTGCGGAGGGAGGGGAGGAAGGCGGAAATGCCGTTGATGACACCGAAGAGGTTTGTATCCATTATCTGTGATCCAGCATATCAGTACACTAGTGGAAGCCGTAATTGCATACTGGGGTTACCTTATGGAAGTATTCCGTGTCCTCCCATCCGCTCTTGAGCCCAATACCAGCATTCAGCATGACGAAGCTGACCTGTCCGAAATTCATTTCTACTTTCACTCGTAAGTCTCTCCATTCATCAATTTTACTGACGTCCATAGCGTATATCTGCGTGTCAATGCCATTGTTGAAATGTAAGCGTGCTTCAGAGAGAGCTTCAGCGTTTCGATCGACGAGGGCGACCTTCATTCCATGTTTATTGCAGAACTTAGCGACAGCGAGACCTATGCCTGAAGCTGCTCCGGTTATTAAGGCTGAATTGCCTGCTTTGAAAACTGGATGTAAAGGCATGTTTGAATAGTAGGACAGGTTTAGAGAGTTTGGATTGGTGGGGACAGGGGGGTCGATCGTATCAGATTTTTGAGGGACGGTCCGCCGTTGAACTTCGTCATAACATTTACAACAAGAATAAACGTAGTCTCAGCTTGGCCCCACCGGCCTTGAGGTGGGTCTGAGTAGGAAACCCTGCCAAGACTTAATTTTTTGGTGTATCGCCCGATATGTAATATTCACACCCTGCGTATATATGATCCTTAACAAAAATGCGCAACTACGTGATATGGCCTTTTTTGGAATTCTTGAAAAAAGTCGAATAAATAGTCAAATAGGCCCTCGTCAAATTAGAAGCTATAGTGTAGTGATTAAGAAGTAAGCTTTTAATTCTATTCCACTAAAAAACTTAGCTAACTTAGCTATAGCAGCGGTATTAATACTTAAAAACGCTATACATCTTAATAGACGCGTAGATACTATATAGGAATTCCTCCAAATATTCTTAAGGTAATCGCTATGGTACTCGCCGAACCGACGGTACGGCGTGTTAGAAAAATGCCGTGGCCTCGTTAGTCAGTTTATTACTTCGGTTAGACGCCGTAGTCTCCCCTCATTTTTTATAATCTTTTTTTATTTTTTAGTCGACTTACGGAGAGTAGAGCGGAGAGTAGAGCGAAGAGCGAAGCGGAGAGAAGAGCGGAGAGCGAAGTAGAGATAATTTATTCTTTTGATGTGAAGTCAGATATTGGTGGCGGCGATATCGATGAATGAGAATATCTCGTACGACGTCGGAGTCTCTTATAGGTATATAAAATATAGAAAAAGACGTCTTTAAATATAGGAAGATCTACGTCGTCGTTATAAACGAGCTAATCGAATATCGCTTAGTATTCTCCTCTCTACTATCCGGGAACCAAATATATAACTTTTTTTCTTTACTCTAGAATTAGTTCGCTAAATATTTTAAAACTTCGTATTTATTAAAAGAAAGAATATATTTATAAGCTATAAAGAGGTTAGTATATATAATTCGAAAATATCTCGCTATCGTCGTCGAAGAGAAAATCGCGTATCTAAGCGCCTCTTATAATCTTCTTATTTATTTTAATTTATTTTAAACACGTTAAGCGCGTTAAAATTATTTAAGATATATATTTTATACTCCCTTTAACTTCTAAGTGATATATTTTTAAGTTAATAGATATATATATAGAGGGGATAGCTTTAATACTCGATTTTTATTAGATAGTAATATAATTAAACTTATAATTTAATTATTATATTCGACTTATTATATAATCTTTTAATAATACTAAATATAATACGCTATTATCTAGAATTTAATTATTAAAGAATAATCGATTAAAGATAAATACTATAATCGTTAGCGGAGAATATATATTCGAATAAGCTTATACGATAATAACGAGCTATCCGATTATAATAAAAAGTTTATATACTTATTTAGCGACCTCGAAAGGCTTATTATTCTCTTAATTAATATTAAAAGATTATATAATAATAACTGAAAAAATAAAGAAAGTCGCGATTTCCCGATAACGGGGTGATTATTGCGGTAGGCCTATACAAATTAACGATCTATATAGCGATTCGGGGGTTTCGTACTTAGACTCTAAGGGAGGGGTATACCGTAATAAGCTTGCGATATGATTGACCCCCGAAGCGAGGTACGAGTGTAGGGCTGGCCATAGGTACCCCGGCTAGCCGTGAGTCTGAATTACTGAGACTAGAATAAACGCTCTCATCACTCTTTTCCAAGAACGCTCATTGTAGAGTATAACATTCATTGTTGCGTTTTGACATGGGCTCGATGCAGTGATTTGCAGGTTCTGTAATAGTTGATGAGCAAAGCTAATCTCTATCCATACGCCGTCTCCAATTTCTGGACCAATGCTATGAAGGTTTGACATACAAACCAAGCATCGGCCCTTTGGCTTCCTCTCTCTCATAATCCAATGTTCTGTTAACGTGTTAGGCCAAGATGACGTCAATGCATAGGCTCATGCCTTAAGGTTGTGCGCAAACGCTCAATCCATATCTATATCTCCCACTTCCCCTGCCATGGCTGAAGATCCCGTACCGTTGTCACTCTCGCGGCCTGTATCCGGAGTTCTGGCAGCAAAGAGGGGCTGTGCCCACGAGAACCGTACTGGCGAAGATTGGAGATTCGCCAGTGTATCCTCCCATGTTCTTGCTACTAGTCTCCCTTCCGTCAAGTCTTCTGCAAACAAGAAGTATCCCTGGTTCGATGAGACCAGATATGCTTCCAAACTCTTGCTCTCAAACAATAACTCCGAGTCCGTAAGAGGGTAGTGGTTATCAATGTACCGGCTGAATCCCCGTGCCATTGCAACAAATTCGGAGTATACGCCTACATATGTCCATCCGATTCCTAGCTCATGGCTGGACCGATAGGTATTTGGGCCTCCTACCGTGACTTTTGGTGACTCCGTTGGGTTTGCGGCCATGGCGACATCAGCATTGGAGGAGCTATCCCGGCGTTGGACCTTTCGTTTAGGTAATTCGCCATCTGAAACCGTTATTTGCGCGGCTGTCTCCTCCACACCCGGCTGCAGTTTCATTTCTAGCTGATCTTCAAACCATGTTCCGGTCTGGGTTTCTGCCGTTGTAGCGGTACCAGTGAGGGGATTGATGCGGGCCATTCCCTCACCATAGATAGCTGTTGGACTGATCCCGGGTGTTCTTGACGAAGGCAGAGCTCCTCCCATTGACTCGTCTTCAGGGGAGATTTCTTCGTGTGTGCGCTTCCTGGAGGTGGCGGAGGGATTGATGGTGATTGGTGCGGTGGCTGGGATTGGAATAGGGTTGGGTGTTGGATCCATCGACATGATTGGTACAAACGATTGATACCGGAAAGGATTTTTCAGAGATCTTGAATGGGCGGCCTGTGAGGCTGAAAAGAATGGGTGATGGTGCGGTGGTAAAAGTATGGTTGACGAGTCTGCGAAATCGTTGAAGTCACGGGGAAGCATGATGAAGCGCAAGAAGCTGATGTGTCGAGGATTGGAAGGCGCGAGTGGGCGTGTTGTTGAGTGGTAAGAATTCGGTGAGATGAGGAAGTGGAAGGCGGGAGGGATGAAATGATCTCCTTGGTTGAGATGGAATCAGAAGGCACAAGCCGTGTGGAAACGAGCTGTTGTGAGGCAAGTGGCCGGACAGATGGTTACATCAGAAGGCGTGAGTGTGAAAGAAGGCGCGAGTGTGAAAGAAGGCGTGAGTGTGAAAGAAGGCGCTCTGAGAATGGCTGTTGCCCGTTTGAGGTTCAATTGAGGCGCGAGGCAAGTGAAAAGTCGCGCTGGTGGAACTGGTGAGAGCGTGAGAGGCCCCAAAGTCCAAGCAAACAGGACCTGGCGGGCTGGATCTCACCAGCCTTAGGGAAACCAATCAAGGGTCTCAATGGCTGGTAAAAATGTGGGGTTAGCGCGTGCAGATGCCTGTTTTCGCATACAGGGCCGATTTCATGCAGGGTACTTTAAGGTAAACGAAATGTCGGGACATCGGTGACCGGTCAAGCCAAAGTACCTAGTAGATTTCATTAGATTTCATCAACCTCAAGATGGTCAAAGCTTTGGGGCAAGGCGATGATGACCGTTGAAGTCAGGTAAGGTATTGTCATTGAGCGACTTTGTCTTCATCGTCATCCTCAGTGTCTTCTTGTGTTCAAGAATATTCCGTTCTGCCCAGGTAAGACTCAATTCAGTAGCAGCCAAAGGAGGGCGACATACCCGACGAGGACATCACGAAGCTGTGATTACTTAGATCGAGGCTGATGACACCTCCCAATTACCCCGCGAAGCTTCTCAGGGAAAATTCCCCGGATGGGCAGTCGTGTACCATGCTAATCCAGGTATTTATTATGACATGCAGGCTCGATCGTATGAGCCTGAACAAAGTAAGCATCCCAGATGTACGTGTCGTTAAGTGGGATGTCAACCTTCAGCATCCTGTTTCTCGTCAGCATCTGGCGTACGAAGTCCGCTGGATGATGGCAATAAGAAGCACGAACATCGTTTACTCAAAGACCACGTCCTCATCAAAGTTCCGTCCCCTTCAAGGAGTCCGTCTCCCTCAGAAGCATCCGTCCTTTTCAAAGATTTATTCCTCGTGAAACGCTTCGTCTGCAGGGACCTCGTTCCTTCCAAAGAATGCTTCCTGGAGATCGAGGATGACGGATTGTACGAAGGGAAATCCCTCAAGTGCTGCGCCGACGGAAATACTAACAAAGAGGAAGAAAATTGTCTTTGCCAGGAGAACCAGGGTGCTTTCCATCAACAAGTCTATGGCAAGAATGGCCTTGCCGCAGAATCCTGACGCTCTGAGCACGACGTCCAGCGCGGCTAGCAAGTCGAAAGCTTTGTACACCAAGAACCAGTATTTTAAACAGCCCAGAATAACACGGAATGGCCCAGGTCGATCCTCTGGAAGTCTTTCGTCATCGTCATCATCGCGAAAGTCCCGAGCTGCAGCAAAGTAATGGATGAAGTAGATGCAAGATGGCAGTGTTGCGAAAATCATGTATTGAAGATCAAGCAAACCGGTATTGTCGTAAAATAGGAGAAGATGCCAGTACGCGAGTCGCCCAAATGTGTGTGGAAAGACGAGAGCGGAATATTGGACGATGGTTTGCAGCATCTCTATGCAATATAGAATGATTAGTTCACTTGTGAAATACGTTGACGAAGAGAAGTTGTTTCCGCCGGTAGACATGCTGGGTGATGTCTTGTTACACAGAACTAAGCCGATTTGCCAAGCGTTTATTCCAGAAGCCCATCCTGTGTAGAAGAATTCCGTGATTAATTCTGGTCATCTGACAGAAAGAGGATGCTACATTGCTATGCACTTTTGGACATGTGTTTCCAGACCTGGCCTTGTTACGTTGGCTTGATCCGGTGCGACGAGACCTAGTGGTTGGCTGGCAAAGCTAATGTGATTTGAAGGAATTCTCTCAGAATAACGCTCAGGAAGGTTCATGTCAGCACGGAAATGGCGTTCCAGCGTTCCTGGATTCAGCTACTCAAGACAGGACAAGTATTCGCATCATTGTCATTAGAGTCAAAGCATCACTAGCCTGTGTATCGAGCAGTATCGTATTCCAGAGAGCCCCGTAGATGCATTGCTATGCTTAATCTCTATAGCATATCCGAGCTGCGACTACCTCTCCATGCTTGTTCGCTCAAAATCCTTGAGAGCCGTCAATATTACTCTCCGCAGCGAAATAACATGATTTGACTTACTCAAAGGAGTAAAGAACCACCTGTTCTTCCCGCTTGTGTATCTCTCCTCCAGCGCCTTCTTCACCGTCTTCTTCGCATCTTCCCTCTGACTGACCTCCTTGAATGTATCATTCGTCACGACGCCCTTCAGACCCTCCAATTCCAGCGTGTATCGTGTAGGCATCAGATGGTTGTAATTGATGGTCTTGATGAAGGGTTTGACCTTGCTGCGTTTCGCTTGACGAGCCTTTGACATGCGGCGGGTGATCTGGGAGGGGTAGCGCTCGATGCCCGCGACAAGGGCGTGAGGAAAAGGATGTGTCTTGGAACCGGTATCTAGGGGTTGAATTATGACGACCTAAGAGCATAGAATGTCAGACCTCAATCCGCTCGTCGAGGAGCCAGATCTGCTAGCAGTGATGGCTACCTTCTTTCCAGCGTACCTCCCCCGCGTGATGATCGCCACACGGCCGACCTTGAGAACTAGATTGGATGAATCAGTTAATATTTGCTGTCAGAAAGGCCTCTAATTACGACTCACACTTCATCGTTGCTGTTAACGGTCGTAGATGTTGTAAATGGAGTTTGGTGATTGCCGAAATTCTGTGTGGGCTTCGAATAAGCCCTACCCGCACTTCGGTCACGTGACTGGCTGATTTAGCCGATCGCGCTTGCCAAGTCGCGGCAAGCCATTGTTTACGTTTTGTGCTGTTTACCAAATATTCTTGAGTTTACTGTCGCAAAGGGCGTGGGTAGTCGATCTTCCGTATAGACATACTGCTTCGAGCACCACCTAGTCTGCGACGCTGGCAGTGTCTAGACCATTGAAAACCGAATGATGCTTCACCAATAGCTACATTTCGCGGTTTGCCCCAACATTCCTCGCTACCGGCACCTCGATAAAGATGTCGTCAATTGACAGGGAAGAGTCCCGTGACCGGGAGCTTGTGCTGAGACATCACCCCTCATTATCTGACTCTGGTCGCGCTTCGGTTCCTATGTAGGCACTTACACGCTCTAACAATGGTATTCTGTGAGACTGACGGGCAAACCTACGAACTTCAGGTGGGATAGCTCTGACCCGGATCGCGCACCCCCTCCCCTCCCATTGAATCCCGGGTCTAGCCCCGCAACAAAACCTACCACTTCCAAGAATATTGCTGCAGCTGCCGAAGCTTTGACCGCAAAAGCCAGAGAAAGCGCTTACACAGTCAACCCGCTGCCGAACAGATCCCCAGAGAAGTCACTGATCAAGGGGCAACCAAACAAGCGCCTGCAACCATTCCATAACACCAACGGCGGTCTACGAAATAGCTATGTTGATGCGCTAGGATCTCTTGACAGGTCCCCCGCGAGGTCACCGGAGAGATCACCGGAACGATTGCCACGGACACAAAGCTTCGATCTCGAGAACCGATCTCCAGAAAGGAGTCCTACCCGGTCAGGGACGGCTACACCTACACCAAATGGTCGAGACACCCCGAGCCTTCGACGACCTCCCCCAAAAGCCATTTTGGGCGAGAACACACCTCCGTCTGCAACAATGCTTGCGTTGCAAAATTTGCCTACACCAAAAGAGCCAGACACCTCTCTTTCCAACATTACTAACAACTCTACTCCAAATATTCGGAGTTCGCAGAACTTCGATGCTATCTCTACACAGATCTTGAGTCTGACAAGCATCGCTACAAATTTGCAGCGCGAAATGGCCCAGCTCAGTCGACGAAGCAAGGACAATGCAACGGATTTGATCAGCCTCAAGGAAGCCACAAATTCTAGAGATGAAGATATTCGTAAGAGTCTTCGAGACCTTGTTTCCAACTTGTCTTCCCGTCTTCTCGACCAAGAAGCAGGCAATGGCTCGCGTGCAGCTAGTAGCTATAGTCGAGGTCCAGGCAACCTCCTGGATAATAAACCCTACATCTCCCCACAGGGCATGTCGAAGAGTTTCTCACTTCCGAGGATACCAAGTCCCAACAGTGCTCTCGCGGCTTCAATCGATCGAGAGATATCTGCTTCCCCATATCAAATGGAAGGAGCTGCAAGCATAGCCCTCTTGGAGAAGATCCTACGGGAAATGGGTACCAAAGAAGGTCAGGAACGGGTATTAACTAGTTTGTCGGAACTTCAACATGCGCAGAAGTTCAAAGAATCAGATCCCACCGTTGTTAAGAAGTTGGAAGAAATCTTGACTTTTCTTAAGGACAGCACCGGCAGCAGAGCACTTGTTCCTCGAAGAGACAACGGTAATGGTGTTGAAAATTCACCGCCGAAGCTTACGCTCGATTTTGATCCTCAGCCCGTACGCAGAGTGTCGCGTGATATTACGCCCCAGCAGGTCACCCCACAGCTCGCCACTGCCAGGGCACAGCAAAACGCTAAAGCCGCCGGCTTTATCAACGAGGACATGCAGAAGCTGTTAAAGAAGATGAAAGACAGTATCACAGAAGGTGGTGGGATGACTGCTGAGGTCAAAGCACACGTGCGTGAACTTCGTGGTGAAGTACTTGGTATGGGTCGTGATATTGCTCGGAAGCTCGACCAGGCAGAATCAACAAGCCAGACAAATCGAGATGACGCCCAGGGACCTGGCCGCGAGGAAATAGCTCACATCGTACAAGAAGGCCTGGCGGAATTGAGAGATCATATGGAGAACCTGATGAAAGAGAAGCGACGACAATCTTCTTCGTCCATCATGTCTCGTCACTCGGTGGACAGTCAGGAGGTTTACACAGCTGTGAAAAACGCGTTGAGCGAGTTCCCATTGCAGCAGCAGGTTGCTTTGCAACATCCTGAATCTGGCATTGAACGAGAAGAGATTCTCGAGGCTGTTCGCGAAGCTTGGGAAACCTACAAACCAGAAATCGAACTGCAAAATTTCGGCTTGGAGCGTGACGAGATCCTCCAATGCCTCAAAGAGGGATTGCAACAGTACCAACCTCGGGAGCAGGCGAAAGACCTTGGCGGTGCCAGCTATGATGAAGTTCTTGACGCTGTCCGGGAAGGCTTGCAAGATTTCAAACAGCCTCCCCCGGTCGACACCGAAGCTAGTATCACCAGAGAGGAGATATTGATGACAGTGAGAGAGTGCCTAGAAACCTTCGATTTCCCGGCTTCGAATGTGGGAGCGGTGAGAGAGCCAGAGATGACACGTGATGATGTTTTAGATGCTGTCAAGGAAGGACTCACCAACCAAGCCTCAATATCGAAAGAAATTGAGTTCAACCGAGAAGATCTGTTCGAGGCTGTCAAGGCCGGTCTTGAGGGAGCTCCAACGCCAATGGGTGGAGTCGGAGAGAAAGTGCTAGACAAGATGGAGGATCTCATTGAAGACATGAGAGTAGAGTTCAAGCAATACTCTGTCGCGAACGGTGGTGACACTGAACAAGTACTTGATGCCATGAAGGATGGTCTCGAAGTGCTCAGAGCAGACATTGAGACTTACGTCGACCGCGCAGCCGACGTCACCGGCAAAGATGAAATCATAGAAACTATCAGAAGTGGCTTGGATCATCTCAAGTTGGATTTTGAGGCAAGTATCGCTAATGCTCCTCGTTCCGTCGAGCAGAACAATAGCGGAGAAATATTAGACGCAATGGAAAAGGAATTCGAACATCTTCGACAGACTATCGCAATTTCAATGGTCCGCTCTGGCGGTGGCGGCGTTGAACGGGAGGATATTCTAGAGACCATTAGGGAAGGCCTGGCAGAGATCCCAAACAAAATACGGCTAGAGCAGAACCCTGAGGCTACAGCTGAAACCATTGCTGTTATGAAGGATGAATTTGAGCATCTCCGCGAGACGCTGGGCACAACGCTGGTGAGAGGAGGTGCGTCAGCAGACAGAGAGGAAGTGCTGGAAGCTATCCGTGACGGCCATGAATCTCTTCGTGCTGAGTTTGAAAGAAAGCATGAGAGGCCCGAAAGTGTTTTCTCCGGTACTGGCGAGCTTCTTGACGCTCTTAATGACGGACTCGATAGGCTTCGTGTCGATGTGGAGAGGATGGTCAACAAGCCCCTTGACATGACCGTCAACTATGAGATCCTCGAGACACTCAAAGAGGGTCTAATTAACGTGAGGGCTGACCTTGATCGTCTGCATACAGCTCAGAGTGAACAGCTCGGTTTTTCTAGTTCGAGGGATGGTGAAGTCGTTGTTGCCGATCCAGAAGCCGAAGGCTTGCGTAGGAATGATATCGGAAATCTAGAGATGATGATCACCCAGCTCAGGATTAAAGTCGAGGCCCTGGATAGTATGCCACCACCGCCAACAGCCTATCAAAGTGCGGAGGGAGCCATCGCTAAAGAGCACATCGAAGGACTAGAAGCCATGGTGAGAGATGTCCAAGCTTCTGTCGCGGACATTGTTCAAGGGGGGCGAATCCAGAACGAGAACACTGCCACTAAGGATGATACGGAAGCCATCGAAACCCTTTTGCGGAATACGAAAGCCAGGATCGACGAGATTGGATTCTCTGACTCTGAAGGCCTGGCGAAGGTAGCCCATTTCGAATCTCTCGAATCCATCCTCAACGAGACTCGGGATGCTGTGCATGACTTTGGCTCGGATGGCGCCTCAAAGAAAGACATCGGCGTTCTGGAAGCTTTACTCAAAGAAGTGCGCGCCGATCTTGAAGACATGCGCGAGAGGAACCCTGACGAAGCCGCTGGCGATAGGGTCAGCAAGACCGATATTGAAGCTTTGGGGACTCTTTGCATGGACACCAAGACACAAATTACTGAACTCGAGCTGCCCGACGTCGAAACTCTTCCAACAAAAGCCGACATGGAAGTGCTCAATGGTCTCATCCAGGACTTCACCCAGCAGGCCGACGAAAAGCATGAACTTACCGCACAAGCTTTTGAGGCACGCAAGATCGAGCACGGTGGAATAGCTGACAAAATCGAGGATGTCAAATTGATATTCGAAGATGTTCGAGAAGAGCTTAAGGCTCGGATCAATGCCAGTCATCACAGTGTGCAGGACCTGGCCAAGGCATTGGAGATGGTGGGCGAGACCATCATGTCTGCAGACTCGACCGCTACAGTAATGGAGCTCCTGGAGACCGTCAAGCGCGGATTTGAATCCGTCCATAGTGCCTCTGCAAGTGGTAAGGAAGAGAGCGAACAAAATCACACCATTCTGCTGGACAAACACATCGAGGTCAAGGATGCCATTATCAAAGATCTGAACATGAAAATCGACGAATGTTTCGACCAAATCATGACCAAATATGATGACGCTCAGCTGGCTGCCCAAGAGAAGGAGCGAGCCCTTGGAGGCAAAGATGTTCAACAGACTCAAGCTCTCATCGCAACGAAAACCGCTGCTGAAGACCTTAGAATACTCGTTGATGCACTTGGCTCGACTGTCATAGAGTCCTGCGATCGGATGAGTGAAGACTCGAAGACAGTATTCAGCCGCGTTGAAGAGGTAGGCCTGAAACTCGATGACCTACTTGCTCTGGACGGAAAATCAGAGCACCAAGCCACGCGGGCAGAGATCTCCAAGACGCTTACAGGCGTAGAAGCTGTCCAGGCGCATGCATCAGAGTACCAGCCTAGAATACTGGAAGCTATTCGAGACGTCCTGGGTATCGTAGGACAGCATTATGAACAGACAAAGGTTTCTGCAGAGGAGATCAAAACGAGCGTCAAAGCAATACCAGCCGCCATACCAATACCCGCGATTGCCCCCTCTTTGCCTTTGCCAGAAATGATAAGAGAGGCTCCCATAACTGAAAGGTACGATGATACGGGGGTTCACGCAAAGCTTGATCAACTAGTTGCGCATGCTACGGAGGCAGGCAAGTCTGTTGCAGAGGTCGCCATGCTTGAGCAAATCCGAGAACAAGTCGCCGTCACGGCGTCTCAGGTCGATGCGTTTGCCACAGCTCAAAAAGCCGCCACTACAGAGACCAAGACTTCGAGAGCAAAGGAGGCAGAAGAGATTGCCATAGCTTTAGAGAAAAGGACTGCTCAAAAGGAAAACGTTGAAACTGACATCGTCCGATTGTCTGGCGAAAAGGAAGGCCTTGCCAAGGATGTCCAAGAACTCTTCAAGGAAAAGGAAGAGCTATCGGCGCTGAAATCAAAGATGCAGGCTGATCTTTCTTCACTTGAGACTGCACTTCAAATCCGGCGTGAAGAGCTACATGTCATGGAAGCTAGAGCAGATGGCCTTGAGCGACGCATCCTTGATGGGGTTTTGGATCACTCTCGTTCGTTACTCACAACGTCTAGACCACAGTCCAGCCTGAAGGAGATGAACCTCAAGAGGGTCGTCTCAACAGCTAGCAACGCTACAGCAAGCACGAGAGCCAGCACTGTTGCAACTACCATACCATCAAAAACAATTAGCGCCGTGAGCAGCGGTGTCGGCATGGCCTTAAAAAGACGGCCACCTCCAAGAGCATCAGGAACGAGCACGTCATCCGTTACAGCTGATCGACGAATCCTCAGCTTGAGTACTTTGGGCGCTAACAAGGGTGCTGCGGGTGAGCGATCAATGGTCCTTGCCAATCCTTCAATTACCGGTGTTACTACCAAAGCAAGCGGATGGGGCGCTGGTGGACTGAAGAGAAGCCACAGCGTCAAATCCAACTTTCCAGTGCGGAAGACCAGCTGGAATGGAACTAAGACACCGGGCATGTATGCAGACGAACCCATAGATGAAGGGGATAAAGAGAACAGTGTGCTTGATGAAGAAGATGAGGAGGATATCGAAGGGAGCGAAGCAGGAACGGAACGGCGGACCAGCTATTCGGGCACCTACAGCGGGACTGGAAGCTATGGAGACGGCAGTACCATACCCGACGAGGATAAACGAACCAGCTACGCAGCCTCGACGATAGGTACCGTTGGTACTAGGGACTTAGCTACAACAGCAGATGGAGAAGACGAGTCGGAACTCGAATCTGCACATGAAGAGGAGGGTGAGCAAGATGAAGACGGACTTTACTTGGGAAGAGATGCATACCAAGGGGATGCGGCAGCGGCGAAAGGGGAGATCAGCAACGCCGGCGAGATGGTCGTTTTCGGGCCGCCTACTGACAGTGGGATTGGGACGGATATTCCTACTGCACAGCTTGAAGGGGGTAGCGACTATTTCAAGAGGTATTAGGCAAGGTGGCAAGTGTTGGAGACTTTGCTTTTGATTTTCTATTGTTCTGTATTCTTCAGCGGTGGTGTTCTAGGAGTGTATACTTGAATGGCCGAGGACGGGCATGCCTGCGGTCATTCCATCCCTTTAGGGAGCGAGACTCATTACCTATTCATCAAGTACATGCAGTCTGTTATAAATCAGAAATTTGTGGGTACGAGGGTGTGGTGAGTAGCCAGCAAAAAAAGTGACTTGTAAGCCATGAGAAATGTGGAAAGCTCACCAGGATCGGGATTGGCCACAGCCGTTTTCCGCACTCTCGAAGTTCATTCCTGAACTCCAATTCACCAGATTCCCTCACTGCTTTTGACGTTTCCTGGTGCTTCTATGTCTATCCTCTATGCTATTGTATTTATCGATATATAAGGGGGTTTCAGACCACTTTTTTTTTGGCTGTGGAATCGTGGAATATTCAGACTTTCAGCTATGACAAAATGGATGGGTCTGAATACCCCCAAGAAATAAAAAACATCGCAACACCATTGTACCAGCGCCATTAGGAATCGAACCTAATACGAATTAAATACCCCCACAACACCCCACTACCAAATAGGCTTCTTTGGTGAATTTGTGATAAATCCGCTTAGTCATTATTCGAGAAAACCGTGTAAAGGCTAGAGTTAGGGTTAAGGGGAGGGGGGGGGGATTTTGTGACGGCGTGATAGAAAGGATGATAGGAAGGACGATAGGAAAGATGTAGACGTGTAGGAGGTAATAGCAATGGGAGGTAATAGTAGACTATTAGTAGTAGTGGTAAGAAGGAAGGCCTTCTAATTGGATAGATTTGCTAAGAGATGTAGAATATCGACACAAGAAATCCACCAAATAGGCCGATTTTCTTCACCAATGCTACCCCAGGGTAGCATTTGGTGGATGGCGTGGATTTTTCAGGTCGTGGGAAAATGAGCGATTTGCCACCAACAGTTGGTGGCAAATCGCTGAAATTCCCACGACCTGAAAAATCCACGCTTAAAAAAAGTGGTCTGAAACCCCCTATTTTAAATCCGGGGTAGTGTAGTGGTGTAAATGTTTAAGTATACGCATTACTTTCTCCTGACCAATCGAGGGAACAATCAAAGTATGCTCAGTCTACACACAGAAGCCTGACGAGACGTCATCTTTTGTTCCAGATCGAGGTAATTCTACCCAGTCCCCCAAAAAATCAGTCCCAACGGCTGATAAGCTGTCATGCACCTAGTCGAGCTGAGTCTCAATAGTGTGCTTGCCTTTTACACATCGACGGGGCAAAGTATTTCTCCTAGCTCATACATGCACCATTCATTCATTCATCACTATCAACGTTCCAACAGTGCGCTTTATCTTTCCGAACCCTTCTCCATCCGGTCGCTCCTCGTTCACGAAAATCGAGTAAGCTTGGATAATCGGAAGACTCGGAATGGAATGGAACGAAGGATCGAAAAAGCCATCGGACCTTTTTTTACCCCATGATGAACAAGGCCGTGTTGCACGATGGTCTCAGACCGCGGCTGTTCAGCTCGGCGCCGGTCTCGACTCAGGCGTCAGGGTGGTAGAGTGGGTCTGACCGATCGTGTAGACGAATGGACGAAAAGGCTTCGGGCACTCCGATGTTGGCATGATAACAGGGCGGAGAAGTTGTGTGCAGAGTCCGGGGCCCAGCCACCTACCTTAGCCCTAAAAGTAACAGCTACTGCCGTGATCTCGAACCCCGACCCGCAGCTCTCCCATGACTCCATCCATCATCGCGTGCCAGCTTGTTCGCTCGCGGCGGTGATGTCGACGCGAATCCCAGTCCTGTGTAAGGTACTAGACCCTCTACCAACCCCCTCGACGTACGCGAAAGTGTCGGAAAAAGAAGGAGAAGAGAACAGGAACGAGATACGAGATCGAAACGCGATGCTAGCGGACTGGAGCGGTCGTGACGTTAGGAGTCTGGGGTATATTGAATTGGAGTGGGTTGGGGTGCGACAGACTCGATACCGTGGTATTACCCCGCGAGCCAGCACGGGAAAGTGGAATGCGGATGTGGCGACTGGAGGTGTGATTGGCATGGATGACCACGGATGAGACGGGTGGTGGTGAGATTTGGACGATATGCAGATCGCTGTACGGAATCGGACTGGGAAGTGAATGGGAGGGGCAAAGATGCAAAGCACGGGCGCGGTTTGGTGGGGAGCAGGCGTGGGTCAAATTTTCTCCATATTGGGTTATCAACTTGTATGTACGTAAGACGAAATTGGTTTCCGTAGCTACTTGCTTATCACAAAAAAAACAAATTTGACGGAGAAAGACAAGGCCGTTACAAGAGCTGAACATGATGGGTTGACGACTGGCTGCGAACAGGGCTATGATGCTGTCGGTGGCGTCAAAGCGACAAGGCGAGTGCGAGTCTACTTACGAGTACTGGCGAGGCTTTCAAGGAATCTGGAAAACCATTGCAAGCGTAAGCTGTCACATTGCTCTGACCTGGAATGGCAACGGTAATGTTGGTATGTGGGGAACAGTCCTGGCCCTTTTCGCCGACGGTCAGAAAGCCATACGCTTCGACATTATTCTTTGGATATTCGACACCTATGCTCCCACAAGTGTCGGTAGGGAATGCTTGGTGCATTCAACTGGTTCAGCAAATCATATGTTGTGGATCCGTTGCCGGTAGCGACGCCTCGGTAGAAGACACAGATATAGGGGCCCCCGTCATCAGTGCAGTATATAGGTTGAGTGGTCAGGGCCCTTTTGTCAGAACCATTGTAGTACAGTTTGACGACTTCCAGGAGTATGTTAATAGCGCCATCGTTCATGGATCCACAATGGTCGCCCCATCTATGATTGTTGAGGCCGGAATTGTATTGCTTACCTCCGGGTGCGGGCAGTTTAGTAGGGGACTTTGCCACGCAGTCGTAGAGGTAGTTGACGACGCCGGCGATATCAGTACAGGGAGGTTGAGTGGCTCGCTTGCAGTCGAACCATTTGTTGGCGGTGTTACGCTCGTTCAAGGTTTGCTCCTGGCTTACGTAGTCGAGGACGAGGTAGCCATTGCCGGGCCCGTAATTATTTTGGTAAGTATCGTTCCACCACGTGAAAGCAGCGGATTGGTCTTCAGTGGTTGCGTCAAACGGAACCCAAGGTGAACCGGTATTACCCCAGAACCTAATGATGAACGTTAACTAACTACAGGGCCTGGCATAGTGGAATAAGTCGAGTACCTACGCGCAGGGCCGGTCATCTTGACATGCATACTGTGTGCATGTGTTGATGTCGAAAGGTGTGGGAGTGTTGCTGTCGGAACCAAGTGGAGGACCAGGATAAAACTGGGACGGTGAAGCGCCTTCCGACTCGAGCTGTACTCCGGGGTATACTCCGTACTGCATTGTATTGATCCAAAAGCCATAATCCCAGGGCTGCGGAACCGCGAAAGCGGGATCGCTGCCTGCCGTGAGGAAGGCCGAGTATAGCGAGCCATTCATGTAAAAAGTATCACCCGGGTCTCCACCTTGAAAGATATGATCATGTACCTGAGTCGTATAATTAGTGATGCCAGTGGTGCAGATTTGTAAGGCCTGGGCAAATTTATTTGTCAGATCACGGAGACAGGACTGGAAGAAATGCGGTTATTGTTACTCACGGTGAAATGATAGCCGGGTTGCGGCTCAACAACGCATTGCCCCGTGTTTCCAAGAGGGGACGGGGCCCACAGGTTGGTGTAGCTTGCTACAAGCCCGAGTTGAGCAATGATAGCTATAGTAAAGTAATTCATGGTAAGTGGAGCCATGGCTTGTTGGTAGAGACGGATTATTGTTTTGGAGACTGTGGAGCGATCGCTGTAAAAACGACCAAGTCATGAGTGGCGATGCCAGGCAGCTTTATGTCGAAGATGCGCCATATGCTTTCCAACACGAGGCGCCACATAGCAGGTGAGGCTTCCTCGCAGGCTGGGCATTGTGCATATGTAGATGGACAAGCCGCCGACACCATGCGTGTTGCTGTCAATAAGATGCTAATCATTAAGTTGGCTTTTGCGGGGAAGTCTGGTCGTTGAAGTAAAACAGGCTAAAAGCTCGGATACGACCTCGTGTTGGAGGCTCTCACTGCATGACTGTGATCCTATCGAGCGAAGACAGCAGGGTAGTACACTCTAGCAGCAGCGCCTGACAGTGAGAATTCGCGACTGGATTATGAGCATTCCTACAGATGCCTAAGGATAGTGGGTGATGATTCTTCTTTCTGGACGCAAATGAAAAAGCAAACAAGAAGGCCAACATGCAGTGTAAGGTGGCTATCACCATGGTACGGCATACTGGACTGGTTTATTGAGCACCCATGCTGAAAAGAAGAGATACAGAAGTGATGCAATTGGTGAGCTCGTAACCGTTTCGACGGATACAAGGGGTATGAGATGGTGAAACAATAATGTTTGCGAGTGTTGTTTAGTAAGGTTCAAAGTAAGTACTAAGGTACCTAGGGTATTGAGATAATTTTTAATTCCCGGCGGCATAAAAATAACAACCCTCCTCTTATCATCTATGGCTTAACGATGAGAGGTCAACAATCAACATGTTGGAAATTGGCCTTCGATGTTGGTGCGGGCCCCGGCCTTCTCATGCCCACTTAGGTAACCACCTGACTACTAAAGATTGTATGTTAAATAGGTAGGCCGTGATTTTGAACTGGATTGCATTTGGCGCCAACACAAGTGCATAAAGTACGAGACTTGGCAACACGAGCTCAACCATCTATCCAAAAGATATTCGTCATTGTTGGTCATAGTTCTCCACCTCATAGATATACCTTGTACTTTTTCGCTTCTTCCTCCATGTAAATTGTAAAGTATTGTGAGAACGGCAAGACTCATGCGCCAGGATGTCGGATGTCGCGCCGTCTCCAAGGGCTGCTTGGGCCATGCGCTTCTAAAATTGTCGGGCTTGTGGGGTATGAGTAGAGTCTTCATTATCTACAGAGCTGCCTTCCGAAGCTGTGTAGGACCTTCCGCTAGCTACCTTCACCTTTCTAGCCGGTAGGTACGACAATTGCGGCCCTTCCAAGTTTTGTAGATTGTGAAAATGTTTGATGCTTTTTGAAACGATGCGTCATCTGATTGGAACTACTCCTTTGAGTTCGTCACCCGCTATAAGTAGATGGATGACACTCTAAATGAGGCAACCTCCACAATTCGAGACGAGAGCCGTCGATATTTGGATGCTGTTAACGAAGATCGAGTAGGAGAGAATGAAAGTGCGGAGGATCAAGTTGGCAAGGACTAGATTTTGAATCGCCGAGCGCGTACTAAGATTACAAAGTAAACGAAGGTGAGAATGTCAAGAAGATAATAAAGTAAGTAAGAGCCTCTTCGATAATCACATATTTTCAAAATATATCAAATATATTTTCAACTTAGCGTACTATATATATACGATTATATTCGATAACTATATTTTTAATTACTAGACTATATTATATATTAAAAATATGTAAATTATAGATTAACCTATAATTTAAAACTTAATATACGCTAAGTATATAGAAATCATAAACATTTATAACTATAATAGCGATATTTTTCATTTTTATAATTAATAGTTATATTTTATAACTATAATAGCTATATTTTAGTTACTCTCTATTTAAAGAGATAATTATAAGTATTATTCTTACTACTACTTAATATTATTCTTCTTATTATAATAAATAAATACGAAGAACGTTTATTCGATCTAACTATATCTATATTAAAGAAATTCTTAATAGTTATTCTATAGTATAGTAGTAGTAAATATATTAGAAGACTATTAAATAATAGATAGAAAGATAATTATCTGACTAGAAAGAATTTTTCGACTATTCTATATTCGATCTTTACTTAGCGAGATTATAGAGTTATCGAACGAAATCGTATCTATATTTTATATATTTTTAAGTATCTATTAATACTATTTTAAGCTTATATTTATTTATTAAAAGATAAGATAATATATATTAGTATATTTTAAAAATATATAATTATCGAAGAAGCTCTAAGATTCGAGCTCGATAAGCGAAGCGAGAATAGCTCTTTATAAATAAAGGTAAATTTTAGCGTCTTAATTAGAAAGCTTACTTTCTTAATACTTAAGACTTAAAAATAAGAATAGATACTACGCTAAGAGGCTAGTAATTAATTAGATTATTAGATTTTCTTATTTTTAATTTAAAATATATCTTATTTCTTTATTTTTAATTTAAACGCGAGTATATACGAGTATATTTAAAAGAGAAAGCTAGAAAAGAATTTTAAAATTCTTAAATCTATCTTTTTTAATTTCTTATATTTTATTAAAAATATAATAATAAACTAAGTATATAGAGTTATAGAATTATTTATACGCTTTTAAATAATATAGCGTAGACGAAATTTAATAAAGTATTTATCTATCGAGCTTATGAGATATTAGATCTAATACTATTATAGATCTTAGCGCTACTTACGTTAAGACTTTAATATCGTATATATTATATTAAGATTTCTTTTAGAGTTTAATTTTAATAATATATCTTATATATCTAGAGACTTAGCGAATATAGATTTACTTCGTATATCTTAAAGTTTTAATATTTCTTAAAGATTAATTCTATTATTAAATATACTATTAAACTTTATAATAACTCTACGTCTTTTATAGTCTATATTTACTAGCTAATCGTTAATAAACTACGCTTTTATAATTTTAACCTCTTTATCTTTAAAAAAAAAGGCTTATTATTATTACGATATTAAGTTTATCTTTAAATTATATAATAAATAACGAAGATAACATCGATAGTCGCTATAGCGCCGATAATTAGTTTAAAAGTTTCTTATTAATAAAAAACCTTACTATAAAATAACGTCTTACGATTATTAAAGTTAAAAACTATTATTTAAAATAAGAATAAGAGTTAGCTACGTTAAAGACTTTATTAAAATATAAAGATAGAATACTAAGTTATATTAACTATAGAGTTTTATAAAAGAAAAGAGCGACTTAATATAAACGCGCTAAGATATATTATATAACTATATTACGTAATTATTAAGACGTTAAGAGTTATATAATTCGAATTTTAATACTTTTCTTTATATATATTCTTTTATAAGTGAAATCTAATAAATACGAAGTTTAATATTAACGATATTAAAATTAAATAGATAAGATAAAATAATTTAATCGATTTTTATTAGATTATTAAAGTAAGTTTAATATTAGATAATTAAAGTAAGTTTAATATCGAGTAGTAAAAGTAAAATTAATATTAAATAGTTAAAGTAAGTTAGTATCGAATAACTAGCGTAAAAATATACTCTTCTTATCTTCTTATATCTCTACTCTCTATATAGATAAAATTAAAATATATAAGATTTAAAGTTCGCGACGTTTAAAATAGAATAGATAAAGTAAAAAGTCGAAATCTGAAAATAACTATATTAAACTATAGCCCTTACTTAAATATAACTTAAATTTCACTTTTTATTAAAAAGCGGTTTTTCGAAAATTTTATTTCTAGATTATATAATATATATTAAAAATCGATTAATTTAAAATCGAAGAATATTTATAGAGGTAATTAAAATAATTAAAAGAAATTCTTCTAGCTATATATCGCCGACTATAAGATCTCTATAAAGATTATTTTAAATAATTAATTCTTAGTAATAGTAACTACGATAGCGGTAATTTAAAGATATAATACTTAAGATATTAATAATAAATAGATATAGATCTCTCGAAAGAGCTTTAAAAGTTTTAGTAATAATAGCGATAATAGCGCTAAAGAAATAGCTATTTTAATATGAAATAGCGAGTTCGTAGAGTGCTAAGTCTAATATAGCGACTCGATAAGCGATTTAGATCGATTATTTATAATATAAAGATTAATAAAATAGCTTTTCTAAAGTAGATAACTTCTCTATATTAAGACTATTAAATTATAATTATAAATAATATTTTAACTCGATAAATTAATAAAAACTCTTAAATTTATTCTTATAGAGAGTTTTAATAAGATTATTAATTATTTATTAATCGATAGAGACGTAGTCTAGAGCGATATTCTTAGTAATAATTTATTTTTATATATAGTAATAATAAATATTAATATATTTAATATAGATATAAAATTAAGAATTTTTAGCTAGTACTATAACGTCTTAATTATTATAAAAGATAATTATCGCTTACGCTTATTTATTACTAAGATTAAGTTAATTTAATAAATCGCGTAATTAAATTATTTTCTTAATAACTTATATTTAATTAATATATTTAATTTTATAAATCGAGAGCGCTATAATAAATTATCGCTTCGATAATTAACTAATAATCTCGCTATTAATATTAAATATATATTTAAATATAAAGTAATAAATATCTTAATTATTAACTTAATCGATATTAATATAATTACTTAGAGATTTTAGATCTTCTCTAAAAACGAGTTAATAGTTAACGATTTATCTAAAATAGCGAAAGATTTACTTAATCGCTTTTTAATAGACTTTATTAAAGTTTAAGCTATATCGAAATATTATTAAGATTATTAAGATTACTATATAAGAAGCATATATATACTTTAGAAAAGGAGTTTTACGAAGAAAGATATCTCTTAATATAATTCTAATTAATTAATTAAGCTAAAGCTATAAACGAAATTAAAGAAAGAAAGTAACACGCTAAGTTACGCTAGTTAGATTTCTTACGCTATATTAAAAATATAATAGTTATTCTCTCTCGTAAAAAGCTATATTATTCTCGAGCTTTT